GCATTTGTATTATAAATTAAACTCGAAAAATAACCTTGAACACATCTTCTGTCAGCAATATCCTTTCTAAAAGCACATGGCGTCGAGCGGCTGCAAGCCATGAGGCATGCGATTCGCCTGCGGATAAGAAATGACCTTTAGGGCCGAGGAACTGGTTTGACTGCATGCTTCTCGGAATACAAACGTGCGACGGAATTTATAACGCCCGCTTTTGAATGCTTGCGTTTCTAAATATCAAAGTTTCATTCAAGTTCATTTTTCGTATTTCGCATTGACCGTCAGTTATCGTGTTTTTGAACTTTGTTTAGATTTAGAGTTTATATTTTAAAGTTTTTTAAAGTTATTTTAAATTTTATTCCAAGTAACTCAATTATTTTTATATGTGTAATTTACATTGTGAACAGTATAAGATTCTAATGATAAAATGATAACTAGGTATAATATAATTGCATGTAGAAGCGACCCTGCATAGATATGAAGCTAATTTAACCCTAATCATTCTGACGCTCGTAGATATAAATATTTGCGTAACGTAAACATGATAAGAATGGTCAGCTGATGATGAGAATTAAGATAGCCAAACGTTGTTACAAACTTTGGATAAAACGAGAAGGCATCGGGAAATTACGTCTGTAAGTTTGGGATTATTAGGCTCTACTATAAATTTTTCGGTATTCTAGCCTTCCCAAGCCCGTAAATATTTTTCTACAAGCTGTACCTCATATGGGCCTCACCGTAGGTTCTTAAAATGCACCCAAAATCTGAATTAAAGTATTATGTTTTTCGAATTTAAAATTTGCAAAGTGTTAGCTTATATATTTATATATACTAGCCATTCCCCGCGACTTCGTTCGCGTGGGATTTGTTATGATTGAAGTTCATGGGTATAATTTTTTTGCGCGGAACCCTAATTCGTTTTCTAAAGTAAAAGTAGCTTAAATTACTCCTTATAACATCAGATATCTGTTAGTGACAATCTCGTCAAAATCGGTCCAGTAGATTTCGGAGATTAGCCGTAACAACCAGACAGACAGACAAAAGTTTTAAAAATCGTTTTTTTTATAAGTACCGTATATACTTTCATATGCATTTAGTAAAGAGTTGTTATTTTGACATTATAAACACGCACTTCAACTTCATTTATTTGTATAGATATATTATTTATATAGATTATGTTAAACTGGTTGGCACAAAACAAAGTAGGGAAGGGTTCGTCACGATAACTAATGCGAATGCGTGTTGTCGAACTTCACATATTATATTCTTAATATTTACGTAGGTTGTCCCACCATCTTTTTGATTTGTTTGATCTGCTTAGGACTTGAGTCGTGCCCTGATTGAATAACATGAACTGCCGTGTAACAATTACACGGCAGGTCATGTAATTCAAACTATAAGGAACGAAGGTTGTCAACTCTCACACCTATCAGCAAAAAAAATGTTCACGACTACTTTATTTTCTGTTTAAATTTCTGTTGGTTAATTAATAAAATGCCTTTTTAAGGAAATACTGAACTTTATCTCTGTATTTATAAATGACTAAACCTAATAATTACTAATCCTAATAAAATAATAAATTTAAATCTTGTAAATTTTTGACCCCCACATGAAGAAACGGGTTGAAAATCTTTTACGTTCCCACTACTTGCTTTATAAGTTTATAACCCATAAATACATGATTTATAAAGCTGATACTAAATAATAAAAATTCGTTAGTGTTGCTATTTAATTTTGAATGAATGTTGGCTTTAATGTATACGTTTGCATGTTATTTACATTATGTTAAAAAGTGTGCTATAGAAATAATAGATTTGTGGTAACCCAGTATAATAACTGAGATCAAGGTGAAACTTCTGGTATTTACAATACTTCACGTAATGTTCACGTTATAATATCTATGAATAACATTAATTAATTTATATCAGAAATACAATGACATGAGACAACATATTGCGAGCGTAATCGGAATACATAAAGGTCGTTTAGCGCTCTTTATTTTAAACAGATTCAATTTATCTTCATCTTTACTTTAAACAATTCTTCCACTGGTGAACATAGGTCTACCTCGTTTCCTCATGGGGGGAGGGATACCCGCCATATTTGCCACTCTTGACAGGCGGGTAGGCAATCAAGTTTAATAATTGAGTGTGATCAGAAAGCTGTTACCTATATCCTGTTTGCCTCTGTCGGTTTTCCCGTAGTGGATACTTTTACGCAGCAACTACATGGTAAAGTAATGAATAAATCGGTTTAAATTACAAATAATAAAACTTTGTGAAATGTGTTCGACAGTATGAGGTATATATATTTTGTAGGTACTCCCAGTAGCGTACCTACAAAATATATATATAACTCATACACAGACCACCCAACCTAGTGAGTGATCTGTGGACTCATACCATATAATGCACGCCTCATAAGCGAAGCGTTGAGGTTATGCTCTACTCTCACCTAATGAAAATCCAGTAATTTTCTGAGCTAAACATGTCCTTATTTTTTTCACTATTGCACTTTTAGAATAATAAAAATACACACATATCGAGAAAAATCACTCGTTTTCATGTTTCTATTATTTTTAAAAGTAATTTTCTGTATTTAGTGTAAAAACAAACTGATTGAAAAAAAAATTCGAGGGTGTCCGGATGTCTGTATTGGTTGCGCACGATTACGGTCGTTAGAATTAATATATCAAAATAATCCTTTTTTATTAGGTTTAGAAGAATCTCAACGCACAGGTTCCTTTTAAAAATCACTGAGTAATTTGGTCTCGTTTAATTGTCATTAATGAAAATGTAAAAAACAACTCGTAATTTTCTACAAAAAAATATTCTCATGGATCTCTTCTTTCGTCTCAAATATGGAAAAGGAGATATTTTTCTTTTTATATAATCAAATGAGATTATGAGGCATGCACTTTTGGATTTTCCAAACTTTTTACAAATCATCTACTTCAGACGCACTGTTTGCACTTTGGGAGTTAATTGATCTCATATTAGATAACATCGATACAAAATATTATAACAATTTTTTAAATTTCAAAATTCAGAAAACTTCAAATTAAGAAAACATAGGCAGACATCTATTACCAAGTGGTAAATTTATCTGGCTATAGGTTCTTGAGGTAGATACCACATTTGTCCGTTTCGCATGCAAACTTCATTGCGTCCACCGTTGGTTGAATTACAGTTTGAAGGATGTAAAGCCAGTATAATTACAGGTGTTACCCAGCCACTTACCCTTACGTGGACTGTGAGTTTTATAAAATTAATGCTGTTAATCTCCTCCTCGCCGTGAGCTCTAGACAGTGAGCTGTTAAACTACTCACTCGAATAGCAAGGGGGATTTCCCATAAACTCCAAGCTTGGTAGACGAATTGTTAACTGCGTAGACTGCAGTACGTGGTTACTTACGATCATGTGAACCGCTGACTCGCTTGTCACTCTTATCTTATTAATTTTACAAACGGACATACAGTTAGTGCAAGCTGCAGCCCATAGACATCTATATTTCTCCTCGATTAAGATCAATATGCAGATGCGTTGTCACCCCTGAGGACTACGATGGAATGCCTTGCTTCAGCAAAAAAGGTCTCCGGTTCTCTACACTCACCATAAGAAACAAATTTTACGCTGTCATTATGTGCGTGCGTGGTCCATCCACGTTTGAATCAACCCATTCGTGCTACAGCCATAACATATCTGCAGCGTGGCTATACCACGTACAAAATATCTTGAAAAGTTCAATTCGAGACATTCATGGTATTTTTATCTGAGTATCTACTGCGGATTGTCATTTCGTTAATATTATTTTAGTGGCCACTATTGCCTCTTATTGGATAGCCCAGGTGAGTTAACCAATCGAACGGGCTATGCTAAGTTGTTTTGGACATCAATTCTGCAATTAAGTAAATGCAATGACTATCTAAAATATGCCTGTCTTGCTGACCTAACTCATACTTCTTTTTACAGAATAACACGGAAAGCCACTATCACAAACAAGTGTTAAATATTTTACACCAGTATCTGGCCGGAATTTGTAACTAATAATAATAATAATATAGTGCGTCATGTTTACTGTGAAAACAAAGACTTTAATGCAAGTCACTTTGTAAATAATTAATCTGAAATCTCGACTAACTGATACTAATTGAAGACTTTCACAAGGCACAGCAAATTTCTCTAAAAAAGCAAAAAATTTGCAATAAAGTGTTTTATTAATATGAATGATTGGGGCATTTTCTCCAAACAATCACTCTCTGTTTCACTACATGATAACGAAATTACCATTACATAATATTGAATTGTATTTTTTTTATGTATCTACGCAAAACTTGTTCCGATCAGAAAGTTTTACATGGACACGAATTAAAAGCGCAATAAAGTTAGAAATCACGTAAACTGGTTGCGGGAATGAGATTTTTCACATGTACATACACACGGTTACATTGAATGTCATTTTATGAAGTTTGTATTTTTTCTTGCGCTAAAAAATATTATCTATAATACGACATAATAACACATTTGTTGATACCAATACCTCTATTAAGTATCTAGTCTCTACTAGATACTTAATAGAGGTACATATCTGTATGAAGGTAGAGACGCTCTACGTTTTCTTTAAATTTATTATTTGATACTTTTATTGAAATCATAATTACAGTGCAGACTATTGTTAAAATTTTAAAATCAGTTTCCAGAACAACGAAGCGATTCTTATCTTGACTTTTTGTTTAGACGCTCTACAATGAAGAGTTGCAAAATCAAACATCATGTACATTTACCATAATATAACAAAGCAAATGAAGTAAATAAAAACGTGCTAGGACGGAAAAGATTAAAAGTAAAGTTATCGGAATAAACAGTCTGTTACGTTTTTACAAATAAAATGAAACGTCGTCACATTTCAATTAGTCTCACACACAGACATGCATGCTTTCCTAAATACTTAGCTTCAATGGCCTCATAGCTAGAGTGTATCGAACTCTGACCATTGACACTCACCATTGGAGCCAAAATAGTCATCCTTATCCAATAATTCATGCTGGAAACCATAAGCGGGCAGCCATGCATGCGAGCCCGGTGGTTCGGGCCAATCCGATATGCGAACCTCCTCCATATCAACATGAACACAACACTGCACTCCACTGAGAGTTTACACTAACGACACCAACATGCAGAGACTACCTTTCCGGTCGTCCATTAGGCTGTCATTTAGGACGATAACGGTCGTCGATTTGGCGCGGTCGCGGCAGTTGTACGCTCTTCTACAACGAGACACACACGCACGGCGGGGAACGGCGGCTGACTGGCGAGCCGGTCTCCGTCGCTGGCGCGCGCGCCGCGATCTCTCCAACTCGTTCGACGCCATGCTGCTAGAACTCACTTTTTTAAACTTATAAAAGTTTTTGCAAGCTGCCAGTTCTATTTGGTTTCACTACATTATCCATAAAGGAGACATCAGTTGTGATATACTCATAATCCGTATTTAACTTGTAATGTTGGATGTTTTCTTCTTAAATCCTTTTGCGAATCTTGATCATGGAACTTGTTCAAATCTTTTTACAGACAATCCAAAAAAATTCACGCAATTTTTGGCAACACAATAGTCCTACGATGTTTCATGTACCCTAATTATAGTACTCTAATAATTTATTGTAATCTTTTTCGTGTATAATGTTCCTCGGAAAATATGTAAACTAAAATACCATGGAATGTGACAGCCATGGTATTTTAGTTTACTTACATATTTTCCAATTTAAATGTCAAATTTCGCCAAGACGGCAGTGCTACGCCGCGCCGCGGCAAATGGACTTCTTTCGTGATCCGTGAAACAAACTGTAGGTGTTGCCCTACTCTACATTCTAAGACACAGATAGAGGACATTAAATGCTTAGTAATTAAATTATTCTTTTGATAATTTATATAAACTTTACAGTGATACAGCTTTACTTTAAAATTGTGTACAAAATAAATTTGCAACAATACATACAGTATGTATACATCAAAATTTAGAGTCAGGTGTATTAAAAGACGATTGTATATTTCCTTGAGTATTTATTACATAATACTGTAATAAATACTCTAAGTATATTTCGTTTCAAAAAATCCATCGTAACTCAAAGAACATCGTAATGACGAATTAATAAAGGTACTTACTTATACAAATTACTTTTCAATTTAAATGATAGATTATTCTTCAATGTAGAGTTCTTAATTTTATAAATAGTGTTTTTTTATAGGATAGGATGACAAACGAGCACACAGTCCACCTGATGGTAAGTGGTTGCTGTGGCCCATAGCCATCTACATCTATCCTCGATTACGAATCAAAATGCAGATGCGTTGTCATCCGTGAGGACTTAGGTGGAATGCCTCGTTTCCAGTAAAAAGGGTCTCCGGTTCTCTACACTCACCATACGAAACACAGTAGCATTAAGCTACTATTTGACGCTGGTATTCTGTGAGAGCGTGGTCCTTCCCCGGTCAAGCCGACCCATTCATGCTACAACTATACTACTAATATAACTGCATCATGGTTCTACCACGTAAAAGAATTGTTAGTCGTTAGTAAGACTATTTACCAAATATTGTATTCAGATCCAACAAATTCAGGATAAACAAACACGAGTTACTACAACATAATTTATTCTCAAGTGGAGTAATTAACGCGATGTTGTTACAAAAAATGCAGACACTACCGCGCCGCACCTCGGCTTTACTTTTGCCTTCGGTTCTTTGAACGGAACCCGAGACGGCAATCGTGAAACTAGATTTACGAGCTTCGAACCTGTTGCGGTCGTGCCTCGGACACATTTGGTAACAATCAAGAGTTTGTTTCTGTCCGATATAAAAGGAAGCAACTTGCTTACAAAAACTTGTGAGAAAACGCTGGCTGTATGTACGAAGCATCATAGTCTAAATCTTTTTTTTTAATATAAACTTTTTAAGTAATATGAAAGCAGTCTCCATTATAACTAATTTTAAAAAGGGCGAAGGTCAATTTTACTACATGTTCTTTTTTGTATGTCTATTCTATATTTTGTATCTATTGTGAACCGAATTTAATTTATTGATTATTTATTATTCTATTCAATAAGTTATAAGGCAGCTTCAAATGCGACGAATACGTAAAATTCTCCAAGGCCACGACTTCAGCACGGTTATAAGCCACATGCATACATCGACTTCCTGCATATCTAACCAGATCGTCACTCCATCTAGTGGGGTGCCGCCCTGCACTTCACTAACCGGTAGGAGGCTACAGAATCGTGTCGATCCTTCAAGCTAAATGGCCGGCCCATTGTCACTTCGGCTTACTGATCCATTGGGTTATGTCGGTTACACTGGTTCGAATGCAAATATCTTCATTGCGAATTCTATTACGCAGAGAAACACTAAACTAGGGGCTATCCCCTACCATTTCATCTTTTAGTCAAAATTTGACCCTAGTCGGACAATTTGTTCCTAGTAAACATATACGTCAACAAATTCGAGTGTATTGTTCTCAACAACTACCTTTGTCTTTTCCATGTACCCATTCGTTGAAATATACTGTCGACGTCATTGAGCTATTCGGTCATGTCATGACTCATGACTATATCGTCGGAAAATCAAAAATGAGTGATTACTCGGCGTAGATGTTGATAACGCATCTTTTCCAGTCCTGCATCTTGAATGCGTCTTCCAATGCATTGTTGAAGAGCTTCGGGATTAAAAAAAATATAATTATAATATAGTATGTAGTAGACAATAAAATTAGGCCACGTACCAAAGTACCAAACCCGTTGTCGTGACTGTTTCAAAATAAAAACTTAAATATTTTTTAATGATTTTGTTTTAATACTTAAACCAAATAATGTATTTTTAAATCAATCTACTTTATTTTTTTATCAATACCTACACAAGAAAAATCAAAAAATCCAACACTTATCTGTCCATCTCCTACGGATGGCAAAAGGGATATGTAAAAAAATCAATAATCGAGATCAGAATTTTGGGAGCGATCAACGTTTACTGCAATTTCAAATCCACCAAATATGAATATCAGAACTCGTTAGGTCTTCTTTTTTAAATAAAACGTTACCCACACAGTACAATTTACTCTTGCATCGTGAAGGCGTTTCGTCATCTCCATAAGCATTACGCCTTTCACATGAACATAGGCCGCCTCCGACGAATGCCGCAAGTACGGTCTTGAGCCACCTTCATCCATCGTCTTCCTGCATGTTATACATATGTCACATCTTGAAGGCATTTAACATATATAAATTGTACATGAAGAAACATCCATTTACCATTGAATCTTAATCGAGGTTAGATGTAGGCGCCTATAGGCCACAGCATCCACTTACGTGTGGTCGACTGTTTGCTCGTTTGTACTTAATATTAAGTAAAAGCAAAAATCTATGTCCAAAACAATGATTTGTAGGTCATAAAAACACATGTTGTGTGTTAAATACTTGTAGGCCATACACACGTGTGGGATTCGAACCCGCGGTACTGTAGTTCTGCGGCCAAACGCTTAACCATTACGCTAGCAAGCCGTCTTAAAACTTGATCCCTTTAATCACTTTGCCAGTTAAACGCTGGAATGTCGACACTGGAAGCGTATTCTATTGTCGGTACTCTCTACTTTGAACAATAAATGATCTTACGATGACTCTAGATAACTTCTGATCTAACACTTAGAGCTTCTACCATGATCTTCTAATTTCGTTCCCACGTGAGGTATACCGTAACCACGCGGGACGGGTTTTTGAGCCCTTCTACTGCTGTGGTAACTATTCTACGTCACTTCGTGTTTGTATTAACTGTGTGAGTTAAGCCACCAACTTAAGAATACATTTGCGGCGATCGCTACCAAGCTATTACTAATTTTGTTGTATTGTTAATAGTGTAACATATATATATATATATATATATATATATATATATATATATATATATATATATATATATATATATATATATATATGATTGTAACTTTTTTTTTTAAAGTCCCTACTGGTTCTTCTTAGGACAGAGGATTCTTTTTTCCGAACCAGTGGTAAATTAAACAAAAAAGTGACTTTTAATAAGTATTATTTATAATTTATATTGAATAAAAAGTTTCTGTTCGTGTTTCTGTTTCTCTACAGTTGTTTATTAGATAGACAAGCTGATAAAGATAAATATTGAAATAAAAAAAATTCTTTAGGAGAAATATAACATGTTACGAAACCGTTAGCTAAACTCTCGGTAGAGAGTAATAGTGTTTTGTGAGCTAAACGTTATTACAAGATTACGTTTGACACGATCTCTCCATATATTTTTAAAAACGCAAATTATTAATACAGATCGTAATTATATACCTTACTTGCGTTCTGTTACCCAACTTTACAGATATTAGGAGAAAGTACGCTCTTTATAATAACAAAAAAGTTACCCATTGCGTGTTGAAATGTTTGGATTGAATTGTGAAAGACGGCACAATGAGTTAGATCAACCGTGAGAATGAATTTGAATATATTGTGAAACTGTGTTACTTATTTTTATTTCGCAGATTTAATAGTCATAGACCTCCAATCGAGCCGAATTAAATGAAATTTAAATGTAAAATAAAACGAAGGCTTTATGGCAACTAGTATACGAAGACGCACCAGTGGTAAAAGCAAATTATGGTAAATGACTTTCAATAAGAAAGAAAAAAGTGGTGAATGACTTTCAATAAGTATTACTTGCTAGGTTGCTTAAAAACAGAAAAAATAAAAATGCGCTTAACTTAAAGTAATAAATATGGTACTTCTTCCTTACAATAAATTTTATTACATCATTTTGGTGCAGGAATTGGATCCAGTACTGGTATCTAAGAATACGTGCAAAAGTCTTACAATTTTGTAATAGTCTAGCAACCCTCGTGCGATCATTGCCGGAGCAAATGAAATGCTAGTTACAAGTTTAAGTGTTAATTTACCAGGGTACATGACAAGGGAAATAACATTGCGAGAAGATGAAGAGTCCGCCAATACGTTTAAGGATAGCGTGGTGAACTTAAAAAAGTTCTACTAAAAGTCATCTCAGAAATACCGGAAAGCTTGTTCCTAATAATAGGATGTATCAAGGCTTACCTTAGTCCGCTTTAAGGTGGAAAAAGTGAACATTTCTATCTTCATAAATGGAACAACGCACACAAATTTTGTTCCTTCTCTGTTTAAAATTCCGTCAATGTAGGTACCACATCGTTGCTTTACCTTTTTCTGTCGCTATGCAGTATCGCCTGATGTGTTTCGTTTTAAGGAAAGTCAGGTTAATTAGAGCCTTTATCTAATTTCTCAGACATACATAATAGTCTTCTTATTTAGTTAGCTGTCTGTCATTTTGATATTAAGAAAAGCCTTAACTGTTAACTCTTATTTATATAGACGTAAGGATGACTTTTGTTGTCCATAGACGCGTTACCCCCCTGAAGACTAAGATGGACTCCTCATTACCAGTAAAAAGGGTCTGCAATTCTCGTCACTAACCATACGAAACGTAGCAGCATTATAATGCTATTTCACGCTGGTGTTCTGTGCGAGCGAGTTCCTTCCCCGGCCAAGACGACCCATTCGTGCTGCAACAATAAGTCAGGTGCAAACCCAACTAACATTTTGGTGTCAGTTACAGGTTTTAATATAACTTTAATCTGTTTAACTGAGTAATAATTATCTCAGTTCTAACTAAAAGACATATATAAGAGTTAAAAGATAAATTTAGCTCCAACAGTGGTTCTAGAACTTTAATGAACGATGTTAGGTTGCTTTAAGAGTTAGAATAGTGCTAATCACAGCAAGTATAGTTAAGAAGTTGTAGCTTTGACCTGTTTGTAGCTCCTAAATCTATACAACAGTGCTCGCTGACTCTCGTTAACACTTATTGTTGTTTAGTTGTTGCCGTGAAGTGTCTTATATGCCTTTAGGTATTATATTGACTATAGGTGCAGACATGGGTTGTAAAATAGAGTTTGTCAAGAGTGTACTAACACAAGATCCTAAAAGTGTTGAACAACTCATTTATGTAGTTTTAAGCTATAATTTTAATTTTACTAATGCTTATTGTGTTTGGCATATACACTTTAAATACATTGTAAAAGTAATGGTGTTATACAAGACAAGTATGGATATTAATACTCAAAAGCAGTCTTTCTAAAGTTGCGATTTGTTATAATTTTTGTTATAAACAACCTTATTACGAACTGAAGAAATTTTTCTACCAAGTATTATTATTAAGTTACATTAAAATGAAACGATTACAAAGATGGAGTAAACAAAAGAAAACAGGCGCAATGAAAAAAAGAATTATGCAGGAATGCCGTATTTTTTTGGATTCACTTAATAATGGTACGAATGACACAAACAAATCACTTAGTTATGATGATATCCGATTAGATTCTGGTATTCCAGTTATTACGGAAAATAAAGAAGATTCGTTACAAAGAGAATATATAAATAGCCATAATACGAGTAATTTTGGTCAAGTTCGAGTGGAGGCACAGCAGGGTTCCGTAGAACAAGAACAAGAAAAAGCACAAGTAAATAACAATTTTTTCGATTCCATACCACTTAGTGCGTCAGAAGATGAAGAAGAAGAGGAAGAAAAATTTAGTGATATTGAAAAAATTACTGCACTAACTAAACAATTAAAAACGTGGTCCGTAGGAAACAATATTACCCAAACTGCTTTAAAACAGCTTCTGTTGATTTTGAATGAAGGCTACGTTAGTACTACATTATTACTTCCGAAAGATCCACGCACTGTTTTGCGTACTCCAAAAGAAATTTGTATTAAAAATATAGAAGGAGGACAATATTGGCATCATGGTATAACTGAACCGTTAATGAAATTACTTAAGGATTTCACGCCCATTCCAAATAGCATTCATTTAATCTTTAATTTTGACGGTCTGCCAATATTTAAGAGTGCCAAAAAGGAGTTTTGGCCAATATTAGCCAATGCAGAGGGGAATGTATTCACAATTGGAATATACTATGGTACAGGCAAACCAAAAATATTAGAAGAATATTTAGAAGATTTTGTAACTGAGATGAAATCATTACTTAGTAATGGAATAATTATAGATGAGAAACTTGTTTCTATAAAAATCAAATGTTTTGTTTGTGATTCTCCAGCAAGGGCATTCCTTAAAGGTAAATATTTTTAATTTATGGCCGTATTGAAACTTTAACATTATTGTTATAATCGTGATAGACGAACTAAATTACTATGTATAGTCAATTTTACGAATTATTATTATTATTTTATGAATAATTTTCATTTAAATTTTGTGATGTTCTGTATTCAGTCTTTAATCATTGCTTTAACGCTCGTATGTACTGACTAAATTAGTTAGGCTAAGATTTCAAGGCGATCTTTTCAAATTTTCTAAGTTATTTGTATTGGCTAAATGTGTGACATACTTTTTTCAGGTGTATGTAATTTTAACGGAAGACATGGATGTTTAAAGTGTACGACGGTTGGAGAATATTCGCATACATCTCATACTGTAGTCTTCTCTACCAAGGAAGCAAATTGAATTTGTTTGAAAATTGAAATTGAAATGAAAATTTCAGAGCTAAACTTTACGGAGGTCATCATAAAATAGATTCTCCTTTACTACAATTGCCAATTGATATGGTAGAAGATTTTCCAGTAGCAGATTCTTTGCACCTCATAGATCTGGGTATAATGAAGAGGCTGCTTATTGGGTGGCGAGATGGCAATTTTGGAACATATATGACTAAGCTGTGTGCGCGAGATATTGAAAACCTAGAGGCATTTTTAAAAAACTGTAAATTACCGTCTGAGATCCACCGGGCAGTAAGAAGTATAGATTGTCTCGCTTATTGGAAAGCAAGTGAATTTAGAATTTTTTTTTATTATTTAAGCGTTATCATATTGTCTGATATCCTTCGTGTTGATGTTGTTGAACACTTTTTGAGTATATTTTGCTCTATTACGATATGTTCCAATAAATGTTACACAACTTTACTACCACTTGCCAGAGAAATGCTGAAACATTTTGTAGATCAGTATAAATATTTCTATGGTTCTCATTATATCACCAGTAATGTGCATAATTTACTCCATATTGTGGACGAAGTTCAAAAATTTGGCCCTCTTCACAACTTCGATGCGTATCCATTTGAGAATCAATTATATTTAATCAAGAGAATGTTAAGACAGGGTGACAAACCTCTGGCACAAGTTGCTAAGAGAATTTGTGAGAAAAGTACAATTAATCTTTTGATGACAGCAAAAACCACGAATAATGTACCCTACTTGATAACTAGTAAAAGTAATCGTAAAATTCACTTCAAAAACTTTGTCCTCTCTTTAAAGCCAGAAGATAAATATTTTATGACTCACAATGATGATATATTTGAATTAAAAGACTTGTCCCCTGGTAGTGAAAAAGAGGTTACCATAAGTGGTAAAAAAATTTTGAACAAATATATCATATTTGACTTACCGATTAAGTCATCGTTTTTAAGTATGTATAAAGTAAAAGAACCTTATGTTGTCTCTGATGATGTTATAGTAATAAATCCAAATGAAATCAAATGTAAATTAGTTTGTATTAGTCATAAAGATATAATATACTTTCTACCATTATTACATACGCTGTAGGTACTCAAATGATAAGCAAACTTTAATTTCAAAATTTCTTTATTAAAACAGTAAAAATTTAAGAAAAGATTGTTGTACAAATGGTTTTTAGAAACAAAATATATGTTTGCTTTCACAATATTTTCTGAAATAAATACTCTGTATGTGAATTATGAAAAAATCAATGAAGAGAATATTATTTATCCATCATAATATTAAAAATGCTTTCTTTAGCTTAGATTGCTATAAAAAAACAAATAAGTATACCTAAACTAACTATGGTAACTAATACAATTTAACATATTATGTTGTACTTAACAAAGTAATTGTTTTGAGATAATACAGCCTTACGTATTAGTAGGTATATTTTTCACCTATAGGTATATACAACGTAACAAAAACCCTGTGGTTCCCGTTAAGTATGTTATCAGGATCAGTATTTAAACCTATAGAAATAACTCGTTTTTAAATTTTATTAAAAAAAATATTTTATTTTATGTCGTTTTATTGCCTCTTACTGACACTAGCCGATGCTAAAGCTTAGTAAAGCGAGGTATTTGACAATCCTCTTACTCCACCGATAATGCAGAGGTAATAAAACCACATACAATTCGCATACAATTTTTTTTAATTAAAATAAAAAATATTGTTCGAGTTTTTACAAAAAAGTTATTTCTATACGTTTGAATAATGATCCTGATAGGGTTTTAGTTACATATTGTATATCTACTAACTTGATCTACATAATAAATATTAACCTACAAAAATATTTTTAAAAATTCGGTAATGTCTAGTAATTATTTCAATCAGTCTCGATTTCCAATTATAGCCTTACATATGACAAAATAAAAATAGATAAAAATAATACTCTAATAGCTTTAATCTTTACATAGTTTTCAGAATATCAAACGAAATAGTATAATATATAATAAATATTTATAATTGCTTAATGTAACGATTCCTTTTCTTCAATTTCAGACACTTGTCTCCTTTCCAATTATAACGTTACTATTATATTTGGCGATGTCTTTTGAGATATTTTTTATAACATCGCCTTCTTTATTTTCCTTTGTGTGTTCTTCTACTGAATCATTTCTTTTCTTCTTATTTATCGTGTTTTCTTCTTCGTTTATCTCATTCTCACTTTCACCGTTATCAGAAGTTACATTTGTCTCATTTTCTTCTGAAAACTTCATACGTTTCAAATTATTTTTGGGTTTCGAACGTTGCCTTGATGTTGAAGCTCTTTCAAGTTTTGCAATTTTTCTTTTTTTGGCATTTTTCAAAATCGTTTTGAAAAATAATTCATTATCTTTTAAAGAATATTCCTGATCCCAATAGTGCACCATATTCCAGAAAAAAGACAAGACATGTTTATAACCTTTTAAAGGAATTTTCAAATCTTCACCTCTGCTGCCCCCACTCCATGAGCACTCACAAATAAATTTCCTTGTAAACATAACATCAACAAGCATATAAGCACAGTCTATAGCTTTACCTCCAGAACAAAGTATAGAATATCTATTTTTCAAACAGTCTCTATTGTTTGGGTCCGATAACTGATTTTCGAGTTCATCTAACTCCTGGGCGCTGTCAACTGGCTTTTCATATATTGGAATATTTTCAACATGGCCTTTGCTGCTATTTAAAGTTTGCACGTCTTGATTATACGATGAAGTTATTTGAAATACTGCGTCTTCCATTTGCACAGACAAAGCAGACACCTTTTTGAATGAAACTATTTTGCACATTTTTTAGAGACTGAATCTGGGCGATAATTGCCGAGTTATTATCCAGTTGCTGCTGTCGATTTTGATAAATTTGGCTTAGAATAGTTGCTTGGTTATCTAATATTTGTTTTTGGTTCTCAAACATTTTACTGATGTCAAAGCTTACTAAATCCTGTACTAAAGGTGTAGTATCATTTGAAAAGACTTGAGATGTATTTGTTGAATTTGCTTGAATATCCTCGGTATAAACTAAGTTATAGTTTAATTCAATCGGCAAGTCAGCGGACGATGACGCTATGTCTGTGTTACGGTTAGTCAAAACAACATTGCCCATCTGAAACAAAAAAGAGCCGGTAAAATTTTATTAAACAAGACTTGACAAAGAGTTTAAAAATAAATAGACTAAATGTTTAAAAAACATTAATTCATTCTTTATAGGCTACTAAAGTCATAACCTTCATTTAATATGTAGTTCTTACCATATCTTGTGCTATTGGATTCAGATTTAAAGATTTGTTATGTGAACGTCGCCGCTGCGTATAATTATCGACATCGTCCTCCGTATCACTGTGCTTCAGCATTTCAGATACAAGCTTTTCTCCGTTTTCGTAGCTTAATACATCGGTCCGTTTTACTTTACATTTTATTACGTCCCAGTCTAGCGTTGGTGTTGAATTTTCATCTTTTAAATACTTTGATATGCATTTATTTGGATATCTGAGAATATTGTTAGATTCCCAACCCGATGGAATAGTAAATAATTTATATTTCTTTCCCTCCAAGGTTTGAACAACTTTGAACGGCATGCTGAAACAATACTTAAGTGGTAGACCACGTTTAAACTTTTCAGCGATTTAATTAAAACCAACAAATCGATTGTCCAAGCTTTAAACAAAAGAAGCAACATTATAAGCTACAAGGCTAACAGCAAAAAATACATTATTTACAGCCTATACACGTCCCACAGCTGGGCACAGGCCCCCTCTCATTACTGAGAAGGTTTTAGGGCAAAGAAGAGTCCGCCGCGCTGCACCAATGCAATGCATGTTGGCGAACTTCACATGTCTTCGAAATATATTTTTTCTTATTTATCAGACATGCAGGTTTCTTCACGATTTTTTCCTTTACCGCCGAGCACGTGGCAAAACAGCACTTAAAATTGCAATTAACAATTTCATTGGAGCTGGCGGGGATCGAACCTGGGTTGCTCGCGTACTGTGAAAGAGGGATGCCATTGGTGCCCACATATAAAAGCATATGTAAATGATAATATGCAATTATAATAATGAAATGGTTAAAGAATTGGTTTAAAAAAAGTCGGGATATTTGTGATATAAAAGTTTTAATTTTCACAAATACAGTTTTTTAACGACTACTTTTACCAATTTTATTGCTTTTAATTTCTTTAACTTTTGTTTCCCGACATTTCAGGTGCTTTATAGCATCCATGGTCACGGGGGACTGAGGTGACTGCCATCCCAATGTCAGTATTGGGACATGGAGTACCTTCAGCTTTTTATTATTATTTTTATAGTCCAATCTACGCAGATTGAACTTACTCTATCTTTAAGTCTTGCAGTGGTATGCTTGGGTTTAGTTTTAATTTTGTTAATTATAGTGTCCCAAGCAGGTGGTAGTACCCAATCGCCTTCTCTATTGAAATTAGGATGTTTTTTAATTTCAATAGCCTCACATATCATCCTTGGTAAAAATTAAGGTTCTTTCGCGAGGATTTGTGGTCTATCAAATCTGATGTATGTCTATCTGGTTGGGGTGACAACCTTGACATACGGTAGTACAGCTGGCACACGCTCAACTGCGGTCGGCTTCACTCGGTCACTGTGACGTAGACGTGGGACACGAAGCTTGATTTTGTGCAGAACCTGCTTGACGTGCTGAAGCTCCGCGGCCAGGTGCTTGCTTTCACAGATCCCATATGCTCTCTGTAACAAAGATTTGCTCACGGTAACTAACTGTGAAGGATGATGGTGAGATTCACCGCTTAAATATAAGTTTGTATGGGTCTTTTTTCTATACACAGTGTGACCTATGATGTTAGGATTTTGGATAACAAAAACATCTAGGAAAACTAAGAAATTATTTGCCTCTAATATAATATCATAATTACTGAATGGAATTTGGCACAGAGAGTGGAAAGGATGGATAAAATTCATAGGAACAACATCCTGATTTAATATTTCGCGGGCCATATTCATGAGCCGCTCTAATTTGTTTCTTGGCACTTGCAATAATACCTATATGCATACATCACTATCTCCTGTTCCTATTTTCATCAAATATATAGCAAGTGCAAAACATCTACTATTTGTTTACTTGACATTTTGGGAACTTCTAACAGAATTTATTGTTATTGTGCTTTTGATAAGCCTAGATAATAATGTACAGTATATTCAGGCATACTGTGAATATTTTCAAAGTCTATAATATGATGGTAAATATTATCTTACAATAATGTAGAAAAATCTATAATTTGTGCTACACTACAGCTACAGCGAGCGCTAACTATCTGAACTACCATGGCTAAAAGATATATTAATATAATGTAATAATTGTTAAGTTGCTATGTTGTTACGTTGAAAATACCAATGATATAATAAAACAAAAGTTAATTTCAAATTAATGTTCGGGCATCGCGTGATGAATTTACTTAACTCTTAAAATTTGATAATGTGCAATGTTAACACACTTTGACCTTTATAAGGTGAAATGGATAACATTGGAAAAAAACGTTACGACATTGTGAATCACCGCAACCAGTTCTTATCAATTTTTTATAAGCTAGGTAATGAGATAAGAGTGGAAATGTTTACATCATAAACAATGTTGTAGTATTCAGAATTTTTTCTCCAATATTAACGTTGCGTATGCGATATACGAATCATCAAGCATTAAATACTTTAACCGTTGTAAATTCCTTTATTTACAAAATGCGGCAACCCTTTGTCTATACATCATCTTCATCACTACAGCCTATCACAAGTACGGTGATAAACATAGATATCCCCCAAGGAATACCACAACCCTCGTTCCTAAGCCACTTGCATACATTCGACTTCCGGTGTCACCTGCGCATCACTCCATTTAGTGACGCCCCTACACTTCGGTTACCGGTTCTCGCTGTCCATTGCCATTTTAGCTTACTGATCTGTTGGGCTACATTACTTTATTTTGTTATATTATAAGACATTATCAAGTACACGTAAGAATTGATTGATAGATGAATTAATCTCTAAGCCGCTCGACTCGATCGTCTCACTGAGGTCAATAAACTATATTTTGTAAGTACTTGCTACATGTTCTGATTTATTAAAACTAATAAAAGGTATTGAATTCGTTCGATGATAACTAGGTCTTTATATTATACAGCCAATATAAAACATTTTAAACAAATTATAAAAAGTAAACAAACATTTTTACATAATATGATGCACATTATCTATTTGACATTCATACACAACGGTAGGTATGGGTAGGTACAGCTTGGCGATTTTCCAACTAAGACCTGCAATATTAGCTACAAGCTAACCAACTGATTAAAATTAGAACTTTTGCTTATATAGTCGTGTTCTCCTCTAAATATGGATTTTTTTTCACTCAAATTTGCAGACTAATTGATGGTAGCAGGTCTTGCATATAAGACTGCTTTCGGAAACTTGCTTGGGGCGACACAGAGAAAATATAAAAATACCTTCCTGGAGTTAGAAACTGCAGTTTGTTTTTATTTTGAGTGCTTAGCAAATGTGGCAAGTAGTGTTGCCAGGTGTCTCGATTTGCGCGGGACGTCCCGATTTTCAGGGGTCTGGGGACGCGTCCCGATTCGTACCTGGTCGGGACGCTTAATGTCCCGACAAATCAAAAAAAAAAAAATGAAAAAAAAATTCATAAAAAAATGTATATTACTGTTGTGCGTGGTATAAATATGTTCTTCATCACATAGAAACTAAATATGATCTCAAGGATAGCAGATTGGACTTATTGAAACCATTTTCTCTACAGAATGATTCATTTACTTACACGCCAATGGTTAACATTAATGAAAATCTAAAAATTGATACGTTTTTCGACATGGATCAACTTTATGAAGAATTAAATATGTAAAATCAAAGAATTAGTGATGACAGCAGTGAAAAACAAAGACTAAACGCCGCTACGATATGGCACAACATTTTTAAAGACAATCAAGACATAGTAAATCTTCAAAAATTATTTTCTTTTATGGCTTCAATTCTAGTATCAAACGTAACAACAGAAAGGTTATTTTCCTTAATTTACTTACTTACTTACCATAGCACCTTGGGCTGTAACTTTTACTGTGGTCACGAATTGTAGGTGCTGCAACCTCTAACTTAATTTGGTCTGAGAGGCGAAACCGTTTGACACTCGGGCATGTGAAAGCAGAAATTCCAATTAAAACTAACTTTAATATGACTTGCAATGAATTTAATAAAAAAACAAGGTTATTATAAATGCGGCAAAGTTCAATAAAAAATAAATAACTTACATAAATACTTACTTTATTCTTCTGAAGTGCATCAATTACACTTAAAGTACGATTTTATTTTTAAAATTTCTACTAGGCCAGCAAGATTGATTACTTGTAATGTAAGATTAAATACATATTTAATTTAGGTAATATAATATTATACTTGCACTAGTAGTTTAAACACAATAAATTAAACTCTGATTTAAAAACACCTTATTTTTCTGTTTGTCCCCATCTGCCACCCTAAATCCCAATTTTTTTGACCTCATGTACCGATTTAAAACAAATCGGACCTGGCAACACTAGTGGCATGTATCCGCCCTATGAGGCCCTATATAGTGGAGGCATGTGATCAATAGTAAACTTTTGACAGGTAGAGTGAGTTAATGAATGAAATTATACGTAAATTTAATTTACTTTATTATACCCGTAACCATTGTTCTCTTATGATATATCAACTTTTTATATTTATGTTTGTAAAGTTTTAAACTACTCATTTCCATTTTTCAGTGCATAATATAAGATCACAAAAATTAATATATATATATATATATATATATATATATATATATATATATATATATATATATATATATATATATATATATATATATGCCTGTTTTTGCGCTTGCCGGCCCTTTAGAAAGGAGTACGCTCTTTTCTTGAAGGTCCCCCAGGTCGGAATAATCGGTCCGGAAAATCGCTGGTGGTAAACTATTCCACAGAGAGGTTGTACGCGGAAGAAAACTCCTCTTGAAACGTACAGTGGTGGACCGCCAAGCATCCAGATGATGTGGATGGTATCGCGACGTTTGCCGCGTAGTGCGTTCACGAAATTTGGCGGCTGGGATTAATCCGAACAATTCCTCAGAGCACTCTCCATGGTATAATATGCGAAATAAAATGCAAAGAGATGCAATATCTCTTCGCAGTGCCAGTGAATCGAGCCGATCGGAAAACACTCGGTCGTTGACGATTCGAGCCGCTCTGCGCTGGATGCGGTCAAGTGGAAGGATAAAGCTGGTACTGGGGAGCCCCAGCCCAGAGATGGGAACAGTATTCCATGTGCGGCGGAACCTGCGCCTTGTAAAGTTGCAGGCGGTGTGCCGGCATGAAACACTGTCCCGCTCTGCTGAGCACGCCAAGCTTTTTAGAGGCCAATTTGGCCTTCTCTTCCAAGTGACCACGAAACTGCACGTCACTCGATATGTCGACGCCGAGGATTCCGATACTGGCCGAGGCAACAAGGGGAGTGCCTTGAAACTGAGGAGATACGACAAAGGGGTTCTTTTTAGCGGTTAA